CATTTTATTAATTTGTATTCAAGACTAAAATTATTTAAATTTACTTCATTATTTTTAATATACTTACACTGAACTGTATAACTAGCAATTAAACAAGCTGTACTAGGGGGTAATTGGAGTTTTCCTTGAAGAATATCTCTACGTATTTGTAAATAAAACTGATATCTAGTATATTCTTCTTGTAGTTTACTAGGGTCGGATACATAAAATTTTACTCTAAAAAAGAAATGTCCACCTAAAACAAACAAATATATATTATATATTTGCTATATAACTCATAATAGATAATTAACCAGAAAATATTTAGTTTTCATATAATTATATATATATTTTTTTTGTTAAAGATATAGGATCTTTACCCTTACTTCTTATCTGCTTTTTCACAGGTTTAGAGGGATCCAGCCACCTCTAGAAATATTTATATATAAAAGGTTAATAATTTTTTAATTGTATTTACTATTTTATTTACACTAATACATAAAATTTATATATTTTAAGTAATATTTTGAAAAAGACCAGGTATGTAATAAAATAATTCTTTTTAAAATATGTTACCATTATATCAGATGTAGGAATAGTTGTGCTAACTCCATTTTCAGCATATTGTAAACCAAAATAATCTTTTTCAATAAGTTCTAAATGTTGAAACACCAAATCTAATAAAACTTGTCCTTTTGCTCGTTTCTATAATATTTATTTATTTATTAATATATATTTATTTTTATTGTTGCATTTAATTGTTACTATGAAAGAACGTTATAGACTTACATCTAATTGAAATGTATGCTGTGTATCATCTAGGAAAGTAACAGTGGCTGATAAAGATTTTAGTCTGCGATTCCTTGCTAATTCAGCACCACGAACGTGGTAGCTCCCACTGGAGCCACTCAGTGCTCTGCGTGATACACTTTCAATCATCTCAAATATATGAAGGCGTGTCAACCACCTTCTCGATACCACCTCTCTGCTATGCTGACCACCTTTGAGAATTAAATGGAGCATTATATATCAATATTTTAACAAAAAATTTACATAATAATTCGTTGACAATTATTATATTTAATATACTCTTATTAGTACATGAAGTTTGTGAAGAATCCTATACATATATACAAATGTGTGTGTGTGTGTGTATATTAGTCTTTTCATTTTATAAAATTAATATAATTTCATATATTTTACAAACATATATATAAAGAGGAAAATTAATATTATATTGAAATTGTTATGCTTCAAAGCAATACAACATTTAATTATACTGAAGATTAGAAATTAGTATCAATATAATTAAATTGAAATAAATAAAACAGCACTCAGTAATTTTACATATATATATTTCAGTGATACATTTACAAGTATATAAGATATATCATTTCATTAAAATTTACTGATTAGTAATAAAGAAGTGTAAAGACGCATCTGATTCTTGCATTTAAGTTATTCATTAATAAATATATTTTTAGACATAAATAAATAAAAAATTTTGTTAATATATATCATAAGGAAAATCTGTCTTTTAGCTGTTTTATAAAATTATTTGTTATAAAATTTTCTACATACATTTTTATCTACATTTCTTCTATTTTTTCATAAATCTATGTACGTGACGATTGAAGTATAAGAAAGTACAACTAAAAAGAAAGATTTTTTTTTTACCAAAACAATCTTGTTAATTAGTACTTCAAAAACAAATATGAAAATATAGTTTACATTTCAGAAATATCATTAAAAAACAAATTTATCAATATTTGGATCAACATAAGTTATATATTTAAAACATTTCTTTTTTATAAGTTAAAAATAATTTATGTTAATTAACACTTCAAACTATAAATAGATACGAAAATATAATTACATTCCAGAGATGTCATTAAAAGCAAGTTTACCAAGATTTTAAGTCAATAATCCAACATGAGTTACATAATCAAATTGCCAGAATAATGTAGAGAGTAGAGGAATATTCTGAAAATAGTTTATACAAAAAAGAGAGAGTAAGATTGTGACTAACTGCTATCACACAATTGGATTCTGCAAATTTTTTTAGGACTAGTGCATCAATCTTGACAGATATATTTACGTATTTACATATAAATTACTATAAATTTAAAAAATACATATATAAGATTATTGGAGCAATGTATAAATGATATTAAGAAATATATCATTGTACTGTCAACATGCAAAATCATTCCTCAACCAGACATACGATTACAGTCACAGTGAAATACTCCGTATAATTTGATTTGAGATATAGCGAATTATAATCCCACTAAATATAATATAATATAAATTTACTCACATTCATGATACGAGCGACACGTTTTACTTGCGATTTCCGTAAAACCCTGTACACAGGATTCGATAAATTGTTCCAAGCGTACATACGAGCCCGGGAGCCGCACTTCCCTCAGAATAGTATTGGACTCTCGGGCGAGACGTGCACAAGCTTCTTTTCATAATTATGCTGATCCAAGCACAGTCCACTCTAAGTGGATGTATAATATCATATTGATGCGGCAAAGCAACAGTTATCACACATTTCCTCACACGAAATTGCAGACAATTTCTAATTTACCACTTTCCACTTTCCGATTCCGCTTCTCCCATTCTTATCAATTCTTACCAACATACCTCTATAAGGTAAAACGGTCGGATTGGCGAGATTGGTAATCGGAGTAATTGTATGCACGAGGCAACGACGTTCAATCAATCATGGATAAAAGCATTCCGCGATTTCGCGAGTAGGGCTTACAAAAATATATGCGCATATATATGCAAGATCTATTCAGGTGCAGCATATGTATATATGCATACACATACATATGTATACACATATGCATGAAATGAAAGCTAAATAGTGCACATAAGACAATAGTATTTTGCGAGTTTTGTTGTGGAACGAAGGTTCTAATCGGCCCTTAACATTTCGATTATGCGAGACATTTGATGATTAGAAAAAAACGCGATTGCACACATGTGTATTTATTCATGTGTATTTATTCGTGTGTATATTCGTGCTTAGTGTATACACATATGACACATGCAGGAGGCATGCGAATATATATATATATATATATATATATATATATATATATATATATATATACACACACACGTAGCAGAAAGAGATCAAGCATATATAAAGCTCGATGTCCACGATGTTAGAAATCGGTCCGAGATATCCGAGAAAAAAATTAACAAATTATATTTGAACAATTTGATCACATGACCATTGCGATTGGTCAATTCTTTCTTCATCCGAGGTCACGAACCGATTTCTAGCATCGTGAACACGAGGCTTAAGAAACGGTAGGTTCATTCGTATGTGTTGTTTGCACTTTTTGCACTTTAACCACTTTAGGCCGGAATTAGATTACGCATTGAAGATTGAATTGAAGATTGAAAGATTAAAGTTTGACTAATCAGAACAAAAGGAGTCAAAACTTTTTTGTCCTCATTGGTGAAATTTCAATCTTTGATCTTTAATCTCAATCTTCAATGCAGCCTGATTTCGGTTTTATACATTATACGGTCAACGCGTTGTTGAAAACGCTTTTTTGGAAGTGTTTTTTAATTGATCAGTAAAATTCTTTCTTCTAATTGGTCCATCAAATGCTTTATTTGTAGCGAGACTTTGACACAGCTATTGAAGATTGAAAATTGAAATTTGACCAATGAGGACGAAGGAATTTTAGCTCCTATTGTTTTGATTGGTCAAATTCAATCTTTTAATCTCAGTATGCGCTCCCAGGGAGCGGAACTGCGGGATGTTCGTGATTGGTTATGGTTTTATTCCGCCATTTTCAGTTGCGCAAATTTATTTCTTTTGCGGATTCCGCCGATGCCTGTGTGCGTATGCAAGTATATACATACACATAAAACTAACCTCGTTAAGCTGGTTTAAACGAAGAAAACTATCTCTTAGGCCGGGTTCACATCTTGACAGAAAAGCAGAAAGCGGAAAAGCGAAAGCCAATCGGAACTCGCAGTAGTAATAGGCGGCATTTCGTTTGTCTGTTTCTTTCCATCTTTTCGCGAAAGTCGAGACAATGTTTCTGTATGTATATATGATTTCCGATTCACAGGAATTCATTTTCCTATGTTCCATGTATAAACGGAACTTGCGGATGCGCAATCAATGCAAACCAATGACAAACGCAATTCTAGTAGACGTAATGAAAGTAATCTACGGGAAGACTTGCGCTTGGTCAGAGCTAATTGCGCATTCCGCAAATTCTGCTTAATGGAACATAGGATAACATATTTTAGCGAAACGAAATCGGCGAAATGAAGCCATAACTAATCATGAACGTTCTGCAGTTCCGCACCCCATGGGAGTGCATCCTTAATATTTAATACATTGTCTGATTGTAGCTTTAAAGCTTTATGTCCGCGATGCTAGATCTCGAATTGTGAAATGTGTAGCCAATCAACTTACAGTTTTTACGGAAAATTGACGCATAATACATAGTGCATAAGTGAATCAACTAATCAGAATCTTTCAATTCCTGCCAATCCATGGAAAAGAAAAATTTTGATTGGTTGATTCTTTTATGCACTGTTCATTATCCGTTATGCAAGAATCTGTGTTGCAGCCACTACTGCCACAATATATACAGTAGCGCATCTCTCCTGATTTTGTCAAAATGGAGTGGGCATGCATGAAATAAACAAGTTGCTCTGTCTCATTTTCTCCTTTATTGCTCTCTCTCTCTCTCTCTCTCTCTATTTAAATAAGCGTTTTTATGTTCCATAAACACTTTTAAACACTTTTTTCATACATGGTTCAGAGTAGAAATTTGAAGGGAATTGTCAGATATATTCATGCACATTCACGTTGCTTCATAAAATTAATTGCTGCAATCAGCTAAAATCTAGCTTTAACCGTTATGGCCATTATTTATATTTTTTGTTGTTGAATTTTCAAATGTATGATTCTTATTGTTTAAAATACAATTCTTATTGTTTAAATATAACATATTTATTAACAAAAAAATGTGTTGACTGTTCAAATAATTATATTTTTATTTAAATATCATACATTGGAAATTTAGCTAAATGTGGTTGTTGCATATCCAATAAAAAATAAATAACACCAGCAAGACCTGAAAATATATAAATAAATACATAACATTATGTAAAAATATACTTGAAATATTATATGTACTCAATTTACCTTCGAATAAAGAAAAAGGTCTATCAGGGGATCGATTTTGATGTAATCCATAATCAAAACACCATTCGGCAAACTTACAAGCCCGATATAAGTATTTGATATTCTAAAATGAATATAGTAACAATACTCTTGAGGTACTTTCATGGATACTATCTATACAGAAATTATGCGTTTCGCGAGTTATCTTCATGTAAAAATTCATTCTTAGAAATGAATGCCACATTTTGTGAAAATTGCAGTTCACTTCAAAGCGAGGAGCAATATGATACTGAGTTCTGTTCCAGTGTTCCTCTAGGTGATTCTCTTTATATACGCTGTTTTTTTTTATAGTGGAAGAAAGTTGAAGGGAAGACAGGTAAAGGAGAGAGAAAGGAGGGGGAACTTGCATGTGTGTGCATGTGGGGTGGAGATGTAGCAAAAGGGAGAGAGGAGTCGGTTAATCTTCAATGGTCTTTCATATTTTATACGGAGTCTAATAGAAGCATTCTTAGGGTCTTAAATCATAAAAAAATTAATTAATCACAGTTAAATGAGAAGAATAATCGACTATGATTGGTCAATTTTTTACGATTTAAGAGCATGCTGGAATGGCCAAGCTATGTTCCAAAATTCTCACTGCTAGTGCTGAAAATGCATAGTATATGTAACTTGTAAATTTTCAGCGTTGGCAGTGAATTTTGAAACACAAATTGTCGGCACTTTGTAGATCAATATAAATCTTTAAATTTACTGAACGGAATCAAAAATTCTTTTACAAGATTTAAGTAGACACAAAATGATGGTGATGCAATGGACTTTACACTAAAATCGAAAAAAAAAGTTCAAAATTTACATTTTTGTTCAACTTCTAGATTTGTCATTTGACGTAAAAATGTAAAAGAGCGACACCATGAGCATGTACCTTTCTGTGTAGCTATTATCTATTATATATTTAGATTATTAAGGTATTTTTGTATCTCTATAGCCTCTCCATATTTTCTTAAGTATGTAATGTTGGTTCATTTTACCCCGAATCCACAATAGATTTTTAAGTCTTAAGCCATAAGGAATAGACGAATCACATTCAATTATTCTTCTCGCATTCGACTGTAGTTGGTCAATTTCTTATGGGTTATTTAAGGCTTAAATTATTTATTGTAGATCCAGACTTATCAAACAGTATTTGATATACTGTCTCAGTGCTGTATTCTGATAATGTTGACTAGAAAGCCTCAAAGATAATGACAAATTGATTCACATGAATGATCGCGTCCAATCAGAACGAGGATCAGGACGTGACCAGTTTTCTCCAATCTCTTTCATGCCTATGGAGCTTTGATGCTCGCGTCCAATCAGAGGAGATAGGTCACGTAATGCAGTTTGCCACTCTCTCCCTTTAAGGTTCTCTAATTGAGTAATGGTGACGTGTTTTAACTTGATGTCACGTTGGTGTTCTTTTATCTTAGGTTGATCACTTTTTCCAAGAAAATATAGAGCTATAGAGATACAAAAATACTCTAATAATCTAAAAAAGGTTACAACATAAGTAAAATATGGAAGATCATTCTTCTGATCATCGAAAATTAACCAACTCCCCCTTTAGCTTATACTCCCACTTTCCTTTTTTCACCCCTCTCGAATCATAAAAAAGAAACAAGATAAAGGATATCATCCAGAGGAACAGCTCAGTAATTACAGCTCTGCTCAATATCAAGCTGCTCCTCCCCCTGATGAAATAAACTGCAATGTTCACGAAACGTTGGCATTTCAAGAATTTGGAGATAACCATAATTTCGAAACGCATAATTTCAAAATAATAACAAATTAAATGCAATACAGTTTTTGAATTCTGTTATTTCTATTATGGACCTTCTCTATTTTTAAATAACTACTATTTCTTCTGTAAACTATATTATATTACTATAACTATATTATATTACTATTTACTACTTTACTATTGTATTTGTTTGCATGTAATATATATAGCATGAGAAAGCAAACAAAAAGTAGAATGTGTAACATTTTTTTCTATATCATTATGAATGATTCATATGTCATTATGAATGATTAAGTAATTAAAGATTCCAGAATAGAAAAAAGTAGCTCAGTTATTTCTAAATCTGAAAGATTTTACTGTTTAGATTATACAGTTTACATGAAGGTTTATATCAAGAAATGAATGAAAAGCGGTTTATTTAGATGCATAAGATCGGTGTATGTCGGAACGCATACAAAATATTTATATATCGAGAAAGCGAGAAGAACGGTTCAAGTCACATGAAATTAAAAAGGTTATATAGCACAATATATTTTCTTCTCATAAATTTTATAGTAGTATGACTAAGATGGGAATTGTTTTGATTTTTAATTCTATTTTGCGCACTCATTTATTCATATTATTTAATTTTCCGTAACTAAATTTGTGTAATTTATGAGTCGTGAATATTGCGCTATATAGACCCTTCATTAATTTCATGCGACTTAAACTGTTCTTCTTACTTTTTCAATACAATCATGTAAGAAGACAGAAGTGCTTTCCAGCAAGGAAACAATCAGACACTATATAACACAGTGAATCGTTTCATCCTTAACGTAGGCAAACTGTGTTCTTGCTGGAAAGTATCCAAGATGTATCATTCCCAAGGATGCGCAGTAGGAGTAAATTGTGGCCAAAATTTTATTGGCTATTCCAACATGCGCTTATACGCAGGAAAATGCAAAATTTGATTGGTTGTTTCCAGTATTGCTATCACTATTATGCGCAATGGTATGCCTTGTATTTTTACATCATAGATATCGTACTTCATATGCATTCTGGCATAGACCGATCTTCACGACTCATGCAAAATAGACTGCTTTTAATTCATTTCTTGACATAGACTTTTCTTCATGTTTTTTTTTCGATATAGCACTTTCTACGGCTCAGGCATCGATATAAAATATATCAAATTTTTTGTTAATAAAAACATTTAAATGTAGAATTAAATATACTTTAAATGTAGAATTAATTGAAATTAAAATCTCATAGTGAATTTGATAAATCTGCTCTAATTTTATATTGATGTTGTGTGTCGAAAATATTATTTTTAATTACAACGTTAATAGCGTTGTAACTAACATATAGTCTGTTTTCTGTTCCTGCACTAAACTGCACTAGAATTCTCGTTTTCACTTTTAAGGATCAAACACATACCTATCTCACTTTAAATTCCAAAAGTGTACACTAAGGGTATGGTTAACGCAATGTTGCAAACGCTTTGAAGCGTTTTTTAATTGGTCAGTTTGTAAAATTCTTTCTTCTCATTGGCCCATCAAACGTTTCAAAGCATTTGTAGCGAGACTTTGACCACAGCCTTATTCAGCCACAGAAAACAGACCTATAGCTGTTCCGTAAGGAATCAGTTGACACCGATTTCCATTTGCGGATTTCTTTATCGACTTGTGCAGGAGACAAGTTATTTTTTACTTTTATCACAATATAGTTAATTATTTATCATTATACAAAAATAAAAATGGAATGCTATTAAAATATGCATTCGGATTCAAATGGATTAAAGTTTTAAAACATATATAAAACAATGTGTCTTCTATTTTTATCCATAAAACAACATATTAAAAGCTCATTTAAATCAGCTTGTTGTTGTGTTCCCTTGTAAGATAGAAGACATTACAAATACAATCAAATGTGTGGCATCACTAAAGTTTGTATTCAGTATGCAAGCTATCAAATTCGCTATCAAATGTTTGTATATTCATAAATATTCAAGAATTAAAATCAAACCTTTGTTTGCTGAAATAAATGTATAAAAGTATAACCATTTCCAGAAACACCATGACAAATACTATATCCTTTTTTTAGTAGTCCTCGTTCCCATGCTACTTCTCCACATTGTATTGCAGTCTCTAGAAATGTATGGTCTTCAAACACCTATAATTACAGCAATAATAGTGAATGGATGTTACTTTAGAGACTTTCACTATTATATTTTCTTCAAAAAAGCTATACAGTTTTCAGATTATTTGTCTTAATATTTATCATTAAATGCCAATGCTTCGTAAACATTTTACTTCATCAGAGCGCGAGAAGCAATCTAATACTAAACCATTATCGCTGATCAGCGTACATAAAGGAAACTTCCCAAAAAAAGCGGCTTACAATTAATATCAGGTTACTTCTCCCTTGATAAAGTGAACTGCAATGATTGATGAAATGACAAAATGCATTTAACGTATCAAAACACGAAAATATCCATATATCACGTAGCTTCTTTGACTAAATGGAGTTTTTATTTAAATACTTTTACTAAATTAATAAATACTATATAAAATTTATACCTTATAAGCCAAACAAAATAATGCAGACATTCCAGGTGCTCCATGACACCAATGTACTAATTTGTCAGAAAAATTGCCAATTGAAGAAGGAAAATTTCCAGAAGAAAATTGCAATTTTTGGAGATAATACAAAGATGGTTTAATATAATCATCGAGCTGCACCTGCGTTAAATATTGTCGTGCCTAAAAAAAGAACAAATTTAGATTGAGAAAATAAAATTGTAATGTGCTTTCAAATATAAGATAACAAGCAATAAAGAGATTCAAATAATCGTTTTCCACAAAATATATTTTTACAACCACAAAATACAACATACCTGCAAGAGCAAATACAATATGCCTGCTAATCCATGAGCAGCACCAATATATTCTGTATCATGCCAAGAATACATTAAAGGTGATTGACTACGATTTGACGTAGCATATGATATTCCAGAATTAATTATACAAGAAACAACCTATAATATTATAAATATAGATAATTTTAATACAAATAAGAATCTTACTTTCTTTTTAATAACGACAAATAAAGTTAATGCTTTTTTGTATTTTTTAATAAGAATCAATTCATACATGCCTCTTATATATAAAAGTCTTACTTGTTTGATAAGATCTGCTTCTATAGGAGCTGGAACTATATTTGAATTTAAATAAAGTAAACCAGTTAAATATCCAGCTCTTCCATATAATAATTCATCAGGGACACCACTATGTTTATCCAAAATGTAAGTAGATAAAGATTTCAATCTAAAAAAAGTTTTTATTTCCTTGTATAACAGTATTTCTATAAAGTGATTATTTACTAGAATAAACACATATATAAATTTTAATTTTACTTCTTAAATAAAAAAGCATTTTTGAAGATTAAAAAAACTAATAAAATAAAATATAATACAGTAAAAATAATAAAATTAGTTTATAATTAAAATGTTATAATATACGTTTATATTACTCAATATTAAAGCAGCAATAATTAAGATTCAATATTCAATCCTTTGTAAAAATAAAAATTTAAATTCAATTTATATAATGACTTATAAAATGACAATCTTAAATGCAGCTTTGAGATGTCACGAACTGATCACTGAACCGTAGTAACATCTGAAAACATTACTTAGCCCAATATTCATAGTCAGTTCTTATTTCAAAACCATCTTAAGTAACGTCTTAAGACGCTAATACGGTCCTCTGTTTGGTTCATGATGCCTCAAGAAAGGACTTAAGACAGTCTTGAATATAAGAACTGAGTATGAATGCTGGCCTTAAAATAGTATTATAAGAACAGACTATGAATACCAGCATTTATATAGGTAGTAATCGAAATGTTATTAGGTGTTGGAATTAATTCGTAGCGTTTTTTAATGAAAGAATGTTATTTATTTCACATGAGCATTAAAAAATACATTAATGAAAGTACTTCCCATCACTTGTAAAACGCTACGAATTAATTCCAACACCTAATATTTGCAAATAATTTAAATATAATATATACAAAATGTGTGCAAATTTTGGTAAACCTTTATATTAGGAGACACCTCTTCGATAACATTGACCTTGACATATGTTATAAAGGTGAAGGTCAGGACTGATCAACTTTTCCTTATAAATTAATCGGCGGTCTCTTATAGTTTTCGAAATATATTTATATAAAACTCATTTTCAAAATTTCATTATTTTTTTTCTATATATGACATCTTGTATATGATGGATAGTGTACATACATATCAGAACCGTCTATTTTTAGTATATTATGAAGAGGATAAATACCATGTAATGGTATAAAAGAGACGCTATAGCGTATCCTTTACAGGAAGAAACTCGCTTATATAATTAAAAATTATGTTTTATTTAAACAAATTGATGTTATAAAAAAATGTATATATTGGAAAAAAACATATTAGGTGTTGGAATTAATTCGTAGCGTTTTTTAATGAAAGAATGTTATTTATTTCACATGAACATTAAAAAATACATTAATGAAAGTACTTCCCATCACTTGTAAAACGCTACGAATTAATTCCAACACCTAATAGATTTTTACAATTAAAGTGAGATAACAATCATGTAAGTGTACTTGATGCGTAGATATTATATATAAATATGTGCACGTATTTTTCAGTCAAATTTATATCATTTATTATATATAGAATCAGAGTTATTTCAAGATAGTATTACATTTGAATACTATTACTGATCTTATTTATCAAGTAAGTGACGGCTAAAACATATTGGAGATTACTCAGGATCATGATAACATATGTCAAAGTCAAGATCATGAGGAAGAGGCCCCTTTAAACAGGATATTTACTAATTATCTAAATATCTTAGAAACTATAAAAGATCGCTGATTAATTTATAAGGAAAAGTTGATCAGTATCTTCATCTTCATAACATATGTCAAAGTCATTAAAGAAGTATCCTAATGTAAAAGTTTACTCAAATTTTTTAGTACAGAATTAGTTATTTAGTACAGAAATATTAAAAGAATAAAACTTTATAATTTTGTATTTTCAAAAATATATTTGCAATTTAATTACTATAAAACTATTATTAAGTTCTTACTTAAGAATTAATTGTTCTGCTTGTTCTTTCTCTTGTTGTGAGTGTAGTATAACTGCTGCTAATGCTAATGGACCTACAGTTCCAGTTAGAAATGTGACTTCATGTCGGCTTTTGAATTCTGTAGTACATCTTTGCAATATTTCTGCTGCCATCTATGAAATTTATCATATCAATATGACATCTAATTTAAAATTAAAAGCATGAAGTTTTATAATTACATTAATATACTCAGAATCATTATAATATTTTCCATAACGATATAATGTATATGCAATTCCTGCTTGTCCAGTGTATACAGAATAGTCACTGCTGTCGAGCCATTTTCTTTTATTTTTTTTTAATACTTCTATAAAATTCTTAATTTTTGATGTTAATAATGATTTAAATGCATCATGAATCTAAAAAAATTTATTTTTGTCATCAAATACTATAATCACTTATCTATTAAATATTTTTTAATCACTATAATTTTAAATATTTACTTATTAAATGATAAAATATATATGAAAAAAATTTGTATACCGTATTAGTATCATCCCTGATTATATTACGGCTAACCGCAATGGAATAATCCTCAAATTGATTTTTGTAATGTCTAGTGGTATCCATTATTTGTTGATATATGAACAAAGTTTTTGTAATTCTTATTCCTCAATATAATAAAATACGACGCATATAAATTTTCTCTGAAACCTTATATTAAATTAAAATATGTACAAATTATATAATACATTGTCAAAAAAATAAACATCACAATTTATATTATTTTATTATTCCGATTTAAATATATTAAATTATAAAATTATTCACTCATTTAAATACATATAATTAAAAAAGCATAACTGTGAGAAAACTTTTTTTATTAAATTTGATGGAAGGACCACGTACAAACCTTATGGAATTAATAGTAAGAAGTAAAAAAAGCTAAAAGCCACCACTAGTTCTTAATCGCTAATATTTAATGTCTTGTAAATTATAATATTTAACGAACGTCATAATATTTATTCAACTATTTCATCAGAGATTCTGTCACTTCTTATTTCGTTATTCCTATATTTTGTCGCTTGCTATGTCACCAGTATTTGAACATATAAAATCAATTCTTTTAATTGACGAATTTGTAACACCGTTGCATTATCATTGCGATATCAATTATAATGAATCAATTATAATGGACATACAAACACAAATAAGAATAGCAGGTCAGGCATTAAATTTAAATATCTTTAATATATATTATCTTTTAATTAAGTTACACTGAATTTTTTAAATAAATAAGTCGATTTACTAAACATAGATTAAGATGAGAATAAGATCACAAGGATACCGAATAATAAGTCACTGGACAATCAATATACAAGAACAAAAACATGAAAATTATTGTCACCACACACTCAGAAGTAAATTTTTAATTAAAGCATTTTAAAAAATGATGTATTATGTAAGGTAGATATTTAAACAGCTACTTAGCATATAAGATAGAAATTATTTGTATATATTAACATTAAAAAGGTCTTAATGTAAGGACGAAACGTTTGTTAAATATAATTTACAAGACATTAAATATTAGCAATTAAGAAGTAGCGGTGGCTCTTAGCTCTTTTTATCTTTTACTAATGTTTTTATTCAATTGAGCCTAATAATTTAATCTTTTATTATAGAAATTAGCTTTTTGATTAAATTGCCTAATTTTGGATATATGTAATTCTCGTCATTCTGAACAAATATCTCCTGCTGACTAGTTTTTGCGCTACACATCTTGGTAAGTTCATTCTTAAAAAAAAAGCCGAATGTTGCTTTTATCTTGATTAATTACTTACAAGCATATATATATTTTTTGAGAGTTATTCCCAGGCTGACAGGATTTGTACGCCTTCAACTTCTTGTTTTATTAGCCTCGTAGGCAACAGATTGATACTGGGTCACTGATGGTCTTCGAAATTGAATAATTCGTGTAATAAAAATGCAATGTACCGGCCACTTCAAACCGGGTAAACTGGGTAAACATAACAGAAGAATGCAATTAAAATCAAAATGGCAAATCGCCTCTAAACATTGGGGCCCGTATTCAGAACGCGCTTTTATCTCTAAAATTCTATAGTATGTGTAATGTAAATTATAGCATGTTAACGCGCTACATTGTAAGCAATGTAAGCGTGTTCTGAATACGGGCCCCAATGTTTAGAGGCGATTTGCTATTTTGGTTTTGATTGTATCCTTTTGGCGGGCGCAATCTGCGACTACGATTCCGCGTCGTATGGAAACACGTCCAAACGAATGAAGGAACTATGAATTGAGAAATGCAAATGCACAATCGAAGCCGACGCTTTTCAAAATATACGCTTTTTAAAAAATATAACTGAGGTGACGCAATACCCGAAATTAGATGGATGAGACACACATCCAACTCGTTCGAGTAGTCTCATGAGACTTTCAATTTTTCCTTGACATTCACGATTATTGATTCTTTTGTCTAGTTTAGACTAGAGTCCCTAGAAAAACAGAATCTGGGCCATATAAGGTGAAACATTACGCATAATGGCGGTAGCAGTACGGAAATAGCCAATCAAATATGTCCGATATGCATTTTCCTACGTACAATATAATAGCGCTGGAATATTGGAATAACCAATCAAATATACCCAAATGTGCACTTTCCTACTGCGCATCTACAGGAGTACTTCATCTTATATTGTATATTTCCATCATGATCTGGGTTGTGTTCAAATTCTCCATTCGGATGCATCCAGAAAGCGTTCAGGTTCTTATTGAGTGTCTTTATTGAACGCTTAGATAGAACGTTCAGATTTCTACTCTATCCATAGGAGGATGGAAAAACCACCCGGTTCCTCGAGCCGGGTGGAATGGATGGTAGTGAGTTGTTTCCCAACAACGTACAATACATAGGTGACAGTGTAAAGCGGGAAGCACAGACTCTTGCATAACGCATAACACATAATCCATAAAGCACAGACTTTTGTATAACACATAAAGCATAGTGCATAAGCGAATCAACTAATCAGAATCTTTCCTTTCCTCCCATTCCATGGAAAAGAATTTTGATTGGTTGATTCTCTTATGCACTATGCATTATGTAAAAGTCTGTGCTAAAAAGTGTAAAAAAGTGTAAGCAAGTCGAACAGACTATATGGATTTCTCCGTTTCTCTCTGCTCTAGCCAATCAACGCCTCGCTTTCACGGTGGATCTGCGCGGGATGCGTTCCGTGAGCAAAGCGTCACGATTCGCGGCATCACAGCGTCGCATGTTGCATGTTTGGTTATAAATCCCGCCATCTCCGCGCCTGTAGTCGCGTGAACTTACGGTCGATCTTCGTTACTCCATCGGTTGAATTCACGAAATAAAAGTCGGTCTGCGTACCGGCGCGTAAATTGGTGCAAATCGCAAGAAACCGAAACGGAAGATGTGATAACGTCGAGGGTATCTACGCGTTTTCTGAATGTTTTGTTCCCTCGCCCGCTTACGACGCAAGCGTTGATTATAATTTCGTGTTAGAACAAGAAGAACCCCAGCTGCGTGATTAAAATCCAAACGCCAAACCATGGCAAACGTGTCTCTCGACAAGGATATGTTTTTTCGGCGCATGAAGCGCCTGTATGCCGCGTGGAAGGTAAGCGTGAAGGAAATTGTATGCTTCTTGATCCCGGTAAGCAAAACTGTTGCGTATTATTATACAATCTTTTGTTTTTTATAGGATGGGGAGGTCGGGACCGATGATAGTTTTAGTAAAATGGATTGCCTTGTTTCTGCCGTTGGCACTGATGAAGATATTGTTTACAGCAAATCCATAGCGTTGCAGGTACATGTGTTTTAGAATTAGAAAATTTTTTTAAGGACTTTGCTTATGTTACGAGTATCTTATCAAAAGATGGAATATGTGTCAATTTTTCTTCAGTTCTATGTACAAAATAGAAATTGTTCTAAGTTCTTCGATAAAGAAAGAAAGAAATAGCAAGTGACATTAGCACAGTTTAGCCAATGAGATATCAAAATGATTTCATTATGCTGTCAAAAAGATAGCGCAGTGAACAAAAGATTTGCTAAAAAAATAATACGTATTTGATAAGCTGAAAAATTTTATTTTTATAGTATCTTTTGTAACACCTTAAATTATTTATTAAAAAAAAAATTACATAAAATATATTGTATTTTTGAGAATCAATTTTCTACATATCACATTTATTTTATGTTTCATTATATTATGTTTATTAAAGTTATTATTTATAGTTATTGTTTATAAAATGTTATTATTTAAAAATATTACATATCAATTAATTTATTGCAAATGCTTAATATAAGATAACATTTTTTTTTATTAAGAAATAAATTGAAAGTTTCTATGTATCGACATGCTTTGTTTTAGACATGGCTGTTCAGTTACGAACTCACGGATACTATAATGATATTGACTGAAGAATCTATCAATTTCTTGGCCAGTAAAAAGAAAATTGAATTTTTAAGAAAAGTAGAAAATCAAAATGAAGATACAGGAGTACCACCTGTGAAATTGTTTGTTAGAGACAGAGTATGTATATTGTATAATTAGTGTAAGAATAATTTTATTATTAAATATATATAGATAGAATTGCTGAGCAATATTTGAATATCTTTTTATAGAGCGATGAAGACAAAGCAAATTTTGCAAAACTCATTGAAGTGATGAAGCAAAGTAAAAATGGCAAAAATTTGGGAGTATTTTCTAAAGAAAATTACCCAGGTGCTTTTATGGATTCATGGAGAGCCACTTTAAAGAACGAATCTTTTGATACTGTAAGTAGGCACAAATCACAAAAAAATTTGTCTACTCGAGTACATGTTCAAGTTGAAAAAGTATTTCTTTATATTTGTATAATTCATATAGATTGATATAAGTGCTGCAGCTGCTTATGTTATGTGTCCAAAAGAAGATAGTGAAATAATTACTATAAAGAAAGCCTGTCTGATATCAGTGGATGTCTTCACCAAGTATCTTAAAGATCAGATAATGGAAATCATAGATTCCGACAAGGTATATATTTTTCAATTCTATATGAGATTTTAGTGAGAGTTAAATGTGGAAAGAAAAATGGAATGTATATAAAAACATTACAATTGTAATTATCTCTATTTCAGAAAGTTAAACATTCAAAGCTAGCAGAAAGTGTAGATACAGCTATCACAAACAAGAAGTATGTAACCGGAGTAGATATTACGCAGGTAGATATGTGTTACCCTGCAATTATACAAAGCGGTGGAAATTATTCACTTAAATTTAGCGCTGTTAGCGATAAAAATACTACTCTCCATTTTGGTGTTATTGTTTGCTCATTGGGGGCACGTTACAAAAATTATTGTTCAAACATAGTAAGAACTCTGTTAGTTAATCCCACAAATACAATTGAGGTATGTAGAAAAAAATACGTATTCGTATCACTGAAATCAAATTTCTAGTTTAATTTATAATACATCTTGTTATAGGGTAATTATAATTTTTTGTTACAACTGGAAGAAGAGATCTTAAAAAAGTTAGTTGCAGGAACAAAAATAAGTGAAGTATATGAGGCTGGTATCAAATTTGTAAAAGATGAGAAACCAGAAATGTTAAATCATTTAACTAAGAATTTCGGATTTGCTATGGGTATTGAATTCAAAGAAAGTTCTTTGCTATTGGGTCCGAAAATTCATGCAATAGCTAAGAAAGGCATGGTATTTAATGTTAACGTTGGTCTCTCAAATCTTACCAATCCAGACGCAACTGACAAAGAAGGTAAAACATACGCCCTTTTCATAGGCGATACAGTTATAGTAAATGAAGGACAACCCGCTTCTAATTTAACACCATCGAAGAAGAAAGTGAAAAACATAGGTATATATGTGAAAGATGACGAAGATGAAGAAGAAGAGGGAAGTGGAAAAGAAAATGAGCCAAAGCCAGAAATTCTAGGACGTGGAAAAAGAACTGCTGTAATAGAATCTAAATTGAGAACAGAGCATAGTTCAGAAGAGAAGAGAAAGCAACATCAAAAAGAATTAGCTCAACAATTGAATGAAATTGCTAAAGCTCGATTGGCCCAGCAGTCTGGCGGTAAGGAACAAGAAAAAATACGTAAATCAACAGTATCTTATAAAAGTTTGAGTCATATGCCACGCGAGCCGGAAGTCAAAGAATTGAAGTTGTATGTGGATAAGAAGTATGAAACTGTGATTTTACCTATTGCTGGTATTCCAGTACCTTTCCACATATCAACAATTAAGAACATTTCACAGTCAGTAGAAGGAGATTATACGTATCTTAGAATAAACTTCTTTCACCCTGGTGCAACTATGGGACGAAATGAAGGTGGATCTTACCCTCAGCCTGATGCAACGTTTGTTAAGGAAGTAACATATCGAAGCACAAATACCAAAGAGCCCGGCGAGATCTCTGCACCATCGTCAAATTTGAATACAGCCTTTAGACTGATTAAGGAAGTGCAAAAGAAATTCAAAAATAGGGAAGCAGAAGAGAGGGAAAAAGAAGATCTTGTAAAACAAGATACTTTAATATTATCACAAAATAAAGGCAATCCCAAATTGAAAGATTTATATATTCGACCAAATATTGTTACAAAAAGAATGACTGGTGGTTTAGAAGCGCACACAAATGGATTCCGCTATACTTCTGTACGCGGTGATAAAGTAGACATTCTTTATAATAACATTAAAAACGCTTTCTTCCAACCGTGCGATGGTGAAATGATTATACTGTTGCATTTCCATTTAAAAGTATGTATCATATTTTATCTTAAACATATATATTCGTTTAATGTGTAAGAATAATATTAATTTTTAATGAATGAATATTGTTACTTATGTATATCACTATGTATATAAATATTTGTGTCTTTTTAGCATGCTATTATGTTTGGTAAAAAGAAACATGTAGACGTGCAGTTTTATACTGAAGTTGGAGAAATTACTACAGATTTAGGTAAACATCAGCATATGCATGATCGTGATGATCTTGCAGCTGAACAATCGGAACGAGAACTTAGACATAAATTAAAAACTGCTTTTAAAAGCTTCTGCGAAAAAGTGTGTATAAATTTGATTTTACTAATTGATTTTATTATTATGCTTATTGAGATTTTACATTTATTTCTATTGTGTGATACATGTCTCTGTCATATAAAGGTTGAAGGAATGACAAAACAAGAGATAGAATTTGATACACCATTTCGGGACTTGGGATTTCCTGGTGCACCATACAGGAGTACTGTCTTACTTCAACCAACTAGTGGATGTTTGGTTAATCTCACAGAATGGGTAATACACTGCGATGAAACAAAATTAATATTTTAAGGCAAAAAGAATATTACATTAATAATATGTTTGGGTTTAGCCTCCATTTGTCATTACATTGGAAGATGTTGAATTGGTTCACTTTGAAAGAGTACAATTTCATCTAAAGAACTTTGACATGATTTTTGTTTTCAAAGATTATCATCGAAAGGTAGCGATGGTAAATGCTGTTCCTATGAATATGTTGGATCATGTCAAGGAATGGTTAAAGTAAGTAACATTATTATTTAATGTAACATTGACAGTCTTATCATCTTTATTGTCTTTTATTTAGTAGACAATAAAATTTATATAATTATTAATTTCTTGTTTAGTTCGTGCGATATTCGATATTCAGAGGGTGTCCAGTCTTTGAATTGGACGAAAATCATGAAAACTATAACAGATGATCCTGAAGGATTCTTTGATAGCGGAGGATGGACATTCTTGGATCCAGAAAGTGATGTTGAAAATGAAGAAGTCGAAGATGAAGAAGAAGAAGAAGATGATGCGTACGAGGTTCGAGATTTAGACAAACAAGAAACTTTTCTAAATATATAAGAATGATACATATATTTTATTTATATTTAATTTATTTACAGCCATCCGATATGGAGAGTGAGGAAGAATCTGATGATGATTCTGAATATTCTGAAGCTTCTGAAGATTCTGATAGTGAAGGTACTTTATCCAAAATTATTGTATTATATTTTTAAATCTTTGCTTTTTATATTTTTTCTCTCTCTCTCTCTCTCTCTAATTTATTTAATTTTTCCCATTAAAATCTTTTTTTATCTTTTTCAGAAGAAGAATTAGGCAGCTCTGAAGAATCAGGAAAAGATTGGTCAGATTTGGAAAGAGAAGCAGCCGAAGAGGACAAAGAAAGGGGCGAAGATCGTTATCGTGACGATTATAGTTCTAGTAAAAAGAAGAAAACAAACCGAAGACAATCCCCATCACCTTCAAAAGATAGGTATTGTATACAAAATATATTGGATATATTTCAATGTTTTTATTAAATATTAACTTTAGATGTTCTTTGTTTCATATTAGACATAAGCACAAGAGTTCCACGAATTCAAAGAGTAAAAGTTCACCTAGTAAGGATAAACGATCATCGGACAAACATAGGTAAATATGATAGTTTATAAATAGTACATATTCTTATGTAAAGAAAATTTCTTTTCTTGATAATTAAAGAACGGATCGATCACGGAGTGGGGGCTCACACAAGAAAGGGTCTCCTTCCAAATCATCCAAACACAGGTGATTACCGACAAGTTTTATATTTTTGATGATGTTATAATTGAAATTTGTTTGTTTAGTCCCAAAAAGAGTGATAAACACGATAAGCGTGATAAAAGTAAGTCATCGCATTCTTCGTCCAGCAGTAGGAAACGTCCTCATGATAAGAGCTTAGAAAGAAGCGATAAGGGGTCTAAGAGATCTAAGTAAGTAATATTTAATAAATGGTAATAAGTGTTCATAACTCATTTGATTTTAAGTACATAAGTACATTTGATTTAAGTACACAGTTACATGTTTAATTATTAAATTTTTACAGGAAGTAAATGCGGAGGGAAGATTTGCACATAGAACATTACAGCAAATACTATGGTGATTCCAAATAAAAAACTTTCTTAAGTTATAACGATTTGTATGAACAGTACATTTTCTTGCATTAAACAGAATAGAAACGAATTAGCATTATATTTTTAATGATTATTTTGAGTCGTTCGAATATTTTATTTTTGTACACATTTTTGTTGTAGTACATAAAATTTTCACTTACAACAATATAGCTGCACAATTTACAGAAAATTTATATGAATATTCTCTGTAATCATATATCTACTTGCGGTTTCAAATGTATAATAATTAAAATTTTTTGCGAAGTCAAAATATGTAAGTATGCGTATTTCAATTTTATTATATTTCTTCAACAAAATATCAGGGAGAATATAGCTTTTCTTTTTTGTAATTCTTGCGTTTTTAACATTAAGTATAATAGTTTTTAAGATTAAATATATCTCATTCCACAATTTAGATTTTTTATTTGATAATATAAGAGAGCGCATTATATATATATATATATATATATATACATATACATATATATATATATATATATATATTTCTTCTAAGTTTTTCGTAACATATAGGATATAAAGACATGAATCAATGAGATAAATTTGGAATGTCTTTTTATCAAAGCGTTGCATTATATTTTTGAACGTGTGAAAGATACTCAAATTTTCAACACCTGTTTTTTTATCAATACACCTGACTGATAAGAAATATAACATATATATAACAGCATTGATATAAACATTTCGGGTGGAGTTTAAGTATTATAGAAAAAAATAACAATTGAAATGCAAGATAATGTACTAATAATAAGTGCGATTCATACATAGTATTATTTGGATCGTGAATTTTTCTTCGTGCTTACTAAATTTGGAATTTGCATACTTCAAAATATTTTTTAAATCATTGGATTAATAATTACAATACTTAATATTATTTAAGAAAGTATGTCTTATAATGATTTTTTATATGCTTTGGTTATTCAGAAAGGTGGAAATACATTTGTAATTCTTCTCATCGAGCCCATACGTGTACGCTGAAAAAAGACTAATAATTCGAAATTCTTAATGAAGAAAATAATTTAATCAAATGAATCGAAAATTGTCGAAAACTCATTTACATAGTTCTCAGATTTGTAATCTTAACATAATAAAACTGTTCTTAAGTTATTTAACATTAATGTACAAATGTCATTTGTGATTTTTATATTCCAAAATGTATGTAATGTTGATACATGAAAATATTTGTTTTTATTAAAACGCCCTACTTACTCGTGAAAGAAATTCATCATTATTGTGTGATGGTATTATAGATTTCTAGAAAAATATATGATCTGAGTACAATGTATTTGCGAGAAATTAGTTTAGAAATTTGAGAAAAAGAAATGAAATAAGAAACACTAACTATAGTAACTATTTTTTATTAAGCTTTTGTAACCGGTAGCATAAGATGAAAGCGTATTATTGTTATATAATGATTTGTCTGATAGATCTATCTCATTTACGTATGCACAGCTGTATATATAAAAGAAAGTGAAAGTTCCACAAAAAGTAAAAAGTGAATCGAGACCTTCCGTTCTCAATATGTATTATAATAATGAGACAATAAAATTAGCAGAGCAGAAAACGGAAAACATGATCTCATAATCCTTTCGTGCTTTGATTATGTTGAAATTTTCGATTTAGCTGTGTCATGTAATAAACCACAGAACAGAAAAGTCACGTTCAGTAACATGATAAATAGAAGTGAAAGTACGCTTCTTCGATGAGTAGTTCTGCAACTTTCTCTATGATATATCGCTAACAGCATACATAATTCAGACTAAGAGATCCTTATGAGAATACATGATTAATTTCACGATCTGCGCATTTTGAGGAATGCCTACTTATTTGAATGTTAAGTAATCTATGAAGCTATCGAAAAAAGCAACGAAATTATGAAAGACAAGTACAAAGTATTTTGTTATAAAGTACACTGTGATATTTTTTACACGTGCAATATCGATAATAATCTATTTGTAAATGAATATACATAAACGTAATCACAGGTAGAAAATGATACATACATATAAAAATATTTTTCATATAATGTATTTACGAAAAGTGGAAACTTTCTACAAGACGTAAACAAATTTTTGTGTAATACAAAAGCAAGATACAAAAGAATCACTTATTTACAAATACTTTTCTACGAAGGCACTTAGGATATGATTATTTTTAACATGATGATGACGATAATGACGATTATGCGAGAGGGAAGAATTTAATTTCGACCTATTTGGTCGATTTGGGTCTGAAGATTGTTCACTACCTCGGGTGGCACATGCTCGCCCAAGATCTCGAAAAGATTGATCCTCTGATCCCCGGGGATTGATTCGTAAGCGGCCAATTCGATACCCTCTTGAACCTTTTGTATAGTCGCATCCTTCGGGATAAGATAAGTATTCTGAGCTTGCCGGATTGCCTCATTGCTGAAGATTTGCCCATCTTTCTGTGGATACGCGGCAATCATGGTCGCCAGAAGCAATGTGGTCAGGACTATAATGTGAAATTTCATCTGGAAATTAGGGACAAGATTATTGAAATCATGTAATCAACACACGCGCGATTCGAGAATATAAAATTCAAAGATTTCGAAAATATATGTAGATATGGTCACAAAAGGTGAAGACTCCAAATAGAATATATATACAGGATGATCCGAAATTCACGAATTCGAAGTACAGGATATGATACTTTATGCTAAAAGAAACAACTTTTCCTTTGGCAACAAGTAGTTTTATGTAACAAGTAGTTTTCCCAGGAGAGCAGATTGAAGTTATACCGAATAAACGCAAAAATTATTTATGGAATGTAATTTTACTATAAGAAAAAGTTGTTCATTTTAGCACAAAAAACAATTTTTTTCTGTAGCAAAATTGCGTCCGATAAGTAGTTTTTGCAGGAGAGCAGGTTAGTTAACAAATAAGTGCAAAAATTATTTATCGAACGCAATTTTGCTAAAGGAAAAAGTTATTTATGTTAGCATAAAGTATCATGTCCTGTACTCCGAATTTGTGAATTTCAGATCACCCAGTATGTATGTGTATATATATATATAATTCGCAACTCTATACATAATTTATCAGCTTCGCGTCACGCAAAAAACAAAAATTATGAAGCAATTTAAATGTTACATCAACATAAAATAGTCATCGTGTAAAATACAGAGGAATGAGATGCTCAGTTATTGGCGAGAGTTTCATGTGCAATGATATATGTCCAAAGAGCATTGGTCCGATCTCTCTTTAATGATCGAGGTCGTGAAATTGGAGCAACATTTATGGAGAAGTTTTTATTGCGTAAAATAAAAAGTCGATATAATGACGAAACCGTGTATGTGTGATGGAAATATTATTTTAGAAATATAGAAATTTTCGCATGTAGTGTGTATTACGTAATATTAATATATATATTGTGAAACTAATATTTCTGATTGATAATTTGGACAAACGTGTAAATATTATGTAATAAGATGCGACACGTTAAAATTTTCTACGTTTATCTTCTTTTTTCTCTCTAAAACATGTGTATATTATATTTCGCACTTTAAGCACAAAATGTTTAAAAAGGCAATTGAGATTGCAAATTGTAATTAATAAGTAACAATGAAGTACGTATAATACACAAATTCGATCGAAAATAAAATTCACTTTTTCCTGTATAAAGTAGATTCTTTACTACGTAGATTGTGGTACTCACGTTGAAAATACGTTTCACAATCGGCTACTCCGAAATGAAACTAAGCGCGCTGCAACGCAGGTTGCTTTTATACCGCAGATGCGTGGTGGCAAAAGAGCGGTGAGAATGCCACTCCTCCTCAAGGAAGATTTACCATTCAGTATGCTTCAAACTGTAGAATACTCGTTATATATTGCGTGTATTTCATGAATGAAAAAGAGTCTTTAAATTTATAAAAATTACATAACAAAAGAAAAAAATTAAAAGGGAAAAAACAAAAATAAAAGAAAATATATTCATAGTCATAGATATTTTCACGTATATTTTTACCTATATTTTTACTCATGTAAATGTCAGATAAAAGTGATGTAGAAGTATTTTTATGTTTACGTTTTAAATATTTATATCTCGGTATATCGTTTTGCGAAAATATTACACATATTTATAATAATTTTTTATTAATGTTTCATGTTAACGAAAAACGTTCTACTTATGATTATAGAATAAATGTCGAGAAACAGTTAGCGCTAAAAATCGTAACGATTTTTCGAGCCATTTCACTCTGCACATTCTCGAAGAACATCGTGCGATCTGCTGTGTATATCGGTGCCCTATTGACCAATATTCGACACAGGCAAGATTTGCTGTTACCTGTATTGGCTGAAGAGTTTCACTTTTATATGTATGTGTGTGCGCGCACGCACGTTGAAAACGGACAATTCATTAAAAAAATACTCATGATTATACTCGTTTATCGTTCATCAACGGAAAAACGCATATTAAAAATGAGCAATCTCCTCAAAAATATTCATACGCATACTCGTGTATATTCGTTATTATACACGAGTGCTTGCGAGTGCAAGAAACGGGCAAAAAACGATCCATATGAGAAGCAAAAGCGGTGAAAAATTTTTATCTTTGGAAAAATTGCAAAATCATGTATAAATCGTTATAGATCGATATAACTAGTTTTCCCTCTACTGTTAATATTTAATAATTTGTTTATAGAATTAGTTGCAAAATTGATTTTTATGATGTACTTTTTATGTATCAGAAATGCTTTTCATACTTCGATCTTATTTCCAGTTGTTCCTCTTTTATTAATTTTGCCATGGTCTTAATGGATTAAAGCTTTAATGGATTAAAAGTAAAAACGAAAAAATCTGTAAAGATTCATGAGCGATGAAACGAAATAAAGTTTATTGGGTTTTTATCGTTTGCAAAATATTTGCATTTAACAATAATTTCCCTAAAGGTTTATCGCAAATCTTTCCCTCCTTAAAAACAAATCGTCCCCTAAGGACAGTTGCGATTACTTTTCCAAATAGAATCTTTCCTTGATACGGTGTTAGCTGTAAACATTTTTGGAAATTTGGTGAGATTTTTCGTAAGAATTATTATTTTCTATTTTAATCAGTATAACTTATGTATTTACTTACTTTGTTTTTGTGATAAATGTCGTCTGCCTCGATCTGCAAAAATATAATAATTTTTTGATAATACCCGCGCAGTGCTCTGTATTTTTCGAAATTAAAATAAAATAACGTATATACAACAGAACTGACCTTAATAGATTCCTCTGGATCCCAAATAACAAAATCCGCGTCCTTTCCAACTGATAAATCACCTTTACGGTCTTCGAGACCGCACAACTTTGCAGGTTGATTGCTTAACAGCTTCGAAACATCAAAAAATGGTATGCCTCTCATTTTCGCGGCTGTCCATATCAATGGTAACCCTATTTGTATTTTTGAAGACACTATTATTTATTTTTCCCTTTCCCTCTCCCTTTTTCCATCCTATAATATTTTTATTTTATACTTTCTGATAAATTTTATATAAATTTATACCGAATTGCAACGAAGAAATTCCACCCCAAGCAGTCAAAAAATTTCCGGAAGTTTTCAATTCTGACACACAGGGAGAATGATCCGAAACAATCATATCTAACGTCCCGTTTTTAACACCATGCCACAATTGTTCCTATAAACATTTGTATAAAATTGAAAATTGACTTATCACGAATAATTTTATCAAATAAGTTTAAATATTGATATTAAATATAGAAATCACTCGTGAAAACTTAAAAATTTATTCAATTAAAATATTTCTGCATGTTATATATCGATAGATAATGACAAATTTTTTTCAAATAGGTATTGTTTTGTAACATCTGATCATCGAAGATAAAGATGATGATTACAATTGAAATTGTTAAAAAGAAAAATGGATATTAGGCAAAAAAGTAGTTTATTTACTCGATTACTATTTTTCCTGATCGGCGGGCAACATTTGAATTCAGTAAAACCTGCTGGAATCTCTTCCGCGGCTAATACCAGGTAGTGATAGCACGTTTCTACGGTTAAAGGTGCACCAAGAGTTTTGGCATCCTTTATTAATGCCAAACATTCCGCGCTTGACAAATGTACTATGTGGCATCGAAAGCTTGAGAATTTTATTTAAACATTATTTTTATACAGAACACCAAAATATCAAAACCAAAATCTCTCCTTCTCTTTGACTTACTTATATTTTATGCACCAATCACAAATTAATTTTACGGCATCAAGTTCCATAATATCGGGTCGAATATGCAAGAAAGTGTCATACAATCCTGGATCATCTAAAAATATGCAATACAAAAAAATTGATTTTCGCAAAAACTTGAAAGTGTTATATTCGTACGTACCTTTTAATAAATTCATTTTCTCATCTCGCTCAAATTCTGCGTGAAACTGCAAACACATTTACGATTGGATTTATAATAACGAGAATGTAAGTATAATGCGTGATGCAATAGATACCGCTAGCACAGTCTTTGTAGATAGTAATTCCAAAATAGTTTTCTTCACATCATCCACAGAGACATGTGGAAATTCATCGACTCCGCTCGGACATAAGAAACACTTAAAACCGACTATACCTGCGTCTATTAATGATCGCAACTCGTGCTAAAAATTGCAAAAGAAAAGAGAGAGATTAGTCACATAAAAATATCACTCAGAACACTACTTTTTTTACAGTTTTATTATTCTCTCTCAATTACTATCTGTCCATTCAATATATACTTTGTCATGTTTTTTTATGCTGTATTGTTACTATATGTAAATGAGATTGTATTTATTTATTATAACACATTTCATACTAAACGTAGATATAATTAAAATATGAGTTATCAAAAAATGTATTATCATTCACTTTATATTCCTTTACTCGTAATTTCTTTAATCCTCCAATCAATCTCTTATAAAACCAAGGTATTATGTGTACACATATGAGAATAAGGGTTGGAATCGAATCCGTCGCCTATAAATCTCATGTCACTCCGTAATTTTATATCAGTATTTGTGACGGTAATAACTAATGAATAAAATAACAAGACAGGGCACCAAGTGTTCATTCTCATGCTCATAAATACTTGCATGTCACTGTTAAAGTATAACGCAATGTTATTATTTTGTATATGTAAGTGTTCAACCAGAAAAAGTATATCTCAAGTCCTCAAGTGCTTTTTGAAATATAAGGATGGGGAATGGAAGAATGGCAATTCAGTTTTAAGATACATAGTTATTATTATATATCACTATGGTAGCTAGAGCATATGCTAACAATTTTTGACAACCTACAATTTCATACTACTGGAAACTTGAAAAAAAATGATGACACATATGCGTGTCATTCGTATCGTAGCATTCAAATAGCAATATCATGCTGGTGCATGTTCTACGAGAGTATAATGTCAATAAAATATTATTATCACACTTGGGTCTTTGGCCATTACAAAATAAATTCGTAAGAAGATGGTTACCGATTTCATATCTTGTAATTCACATAAGTTCGCTTCCTTTTGAGGTAATAATGCGTCAATACGTTTTCGTTTACATGAATTCGCCCGGGAAAAAATAGTAGAAAAAATGTATGTATAATATATATATATATA